ATTCGGGGGTGCCTAGGGGCGCGGGGGATTCGCGTTTCCGCCATTGTGCGAGGGTGGGGGGGGGGATTGGAGTGACCCTCCCCACCATCCCCCCGTTGCAGGGACTGCCAGGGAGAGTGAGGCATTATTCGACCTCGAGCTGGCAGTCCCCGCCCTAGGGCCCCCTCATGGACCTCGATTTCGTTGGAATTGCCCTGGTGTGGCGGTTGAATTCTTGCGAGTTGTGCAGAATGCATGTCGTTTGATCTTGATCGAGTTGTTGCGAATGCCTATCGTGTGATCTTGAATTGATAGATTTCGTATTGGTTTTTTGGGTCCTGCACTGGGCCATCCTTGACTGGGTCAGCACCTTGCTGGACTTGGTCATCCTTGACGGGGTGAACCACGTGCTGGACTGGGTCATCCTTGACGGGGTCAGCATCGTGCTGGACTGGGTCAGCATCTTGCTGGACTTGGTCAACATTGACGGGGTCATCATCGTGCTGGACTGGGTCATCACCATGCTGGACTAGGTCATCCTTGACGGGGTCAGCATCTTTCTGGACTGGGTCATCCTTGACTGGGTCAGCCTGCTGCTGGATTTCATGGGCATGAATTTCCCATCACCACCACCACCATAGGGAGGAGGAGCAGGAGGAGGAGGAGGAGGAGGCGGGAGAGGAGGAGGAGGAGGAGGCGGAAGAGGAGAAGGAGGAGGAGGAGGAGGAGGACATTTCCATGCCCATCAGGACTTGGTCATCCTTGACTGGGCCAGCAACTTGCTAGACTGGGCCATCAAGGCCCGAGCGGGGCCGTGGCGCCGTGCCGCGCGCAAGCTGGCGACCGAGACGCGCCCCGCATCCCAAATGGGGTCCGAGAGATGTGGTCGGAGGATCGCGCCGCATCGCCGATGCATCGGCGATGCGACTCGCGATGTGGAGCCAAGTTTCACCAACGCCGACGGCGCCGATGCGTCGCCGACATCGCCGACGCATTAAACGATGCGGCGCGACCCTCCGACACGATCCTCGACCCCCATCTGGAATGCATCGCCCGCCGCCCTCCTGGCAAAATGCGGGACAGGATAGGCGCCTCTGCCACCGCCACTGCACGCTTTATATCGCCCCTCCCTCCCTTCATCCTCCATTCGTTAATTCAGTCAGCCTCCATCCTCTCCATTCCCCACTTTCTCCCCTGGGGGTGGAAGGGGAGGAATCATCTTCGCGACGCGGCGAGGCCGTATTCACGCGAGATGTGTTCGAATCCGCCCTTTTCGGGCGCGGTACGCAAACTGCATCATTATGGTTGAGTTGTCAAGCATTTCCAAAAAATCTCCTCCCCCTCTTCCCCCGCTCACCCTCTCCGTCCCGCGGGCCATCTAACATATCGTTTACGTGGCGCCTCGAGGACGGTGGACGGAGTATGGCTTCCTTGTCCCCTCATCCCTCCCTCCCTCCCCCCCTCACCCTCCCTCACGTCCCTCGTTCCTCGCTCCTTGATCCGAAGCTCGCGGTGGCAGGCAAGAACCCTCGAACGAGGGGTCCTCGATATGTCCCGTTCCACCCCCCTCTCCTCAAGCACAGCCCGCCACGCCCCGAGCTCAGCCAGCCATGAGCGCTCCTCTCATCCCCGAACCTGTGCTCGCACTGGCAGCGGCTATGGCCGCTGCTCTCGAAGCGGCGGCCAGCGCCGCCGCTGGCATCGTTTTCATGTGTCGCTCCAGCGGGCACGGTGAGTTCGCTACGATGCTCGAGGATTTGGAGGTGGGAAGGGCGGATGCACTTTCCTAGCGCCTCGAGGGGCTGCAGCCCAGCTGCGGTGCCTCGAGGCGCTAGGAAATTGCACCTGCGTTTCCCGCGTTTCGTCCGCTAGGAGCGTCAGAGGGCGTGGTCGGCGGAGGCGGCGCTGTGGAGGGACGGTCTGGTGCTGGTGCTTCACGGTCGACGCGGCGGGGACAGCTGGGGGAGCAAAACCGTGCCGATACCGCTACTCCACGGACCTCTCCCGAGGTGCGTTCTGAACAAGATTTCCAGGAGAATCCAGCCGTGGCAACGCGCGGGGTCGATAGGTTTTCCTCCCCTGAACGGCGCGGCGGCGGACGGCGGGGACAACTGGGGGAGCAAACGGCGCCGATACCGCTACTCTGTGCATCTCTCCCGAAGTGCGTTCTGGACAGGATTCAAGCAAATCCAGCCGTGGCAATATAAGCGGCATCGACACCTTTTCCTCCCCTGAACGGCGCGGCGGCTGACGACAGGGACAACTAGGGGAGGAAAACGGTGCCGATATCGCTACCCCACTGACCTCATCCTGGTGCGTTCTGGCCAGGATTTCCAGGCGAATTGAGCCGTGGCAATATAAGCGGCATCGACACCTTTTCCTCCCCTGAACGGCGCGGCAGCGGTAGCGGACGACCACGTCTGAGCGGAACCCGCTTGCATGATGAGTCGACGCCCGTCGGGCGAGCGAGGGGTGAGCCGCCGTCCTCTCTCCTCCCCCTCCTTTCCTTTTCCTGCCTCCTCCCTCCTCCTCCTCGACTCGGTGAAACGCAACGAAGCCGCGCGCCGCGACCCGCCCGCGACCCACCTGAAACCCACGCGCGCGTGTCCGACAATTTCGCAAAATCGATGCCCCTGGAACCTCAAACCGATGAACCATTTTAGGCCCCCGGGCCCAAAACGCAAAATGCATTTTAGGCCCCCCGGCCCAAAACGCAAAATGCATTTTAGGCCCCCGGGCCCAAAACGCAAAATGCATTTTAGGCCCCCCGGCCCAAAATCCAAAAAACACATTTTAGGCCCCCCCAAAAATTATAGGCCCCCCCCCAGCCGCGGGCGGACCTAAAATCTCAAACGCAAATTACCATCATAGGCCCCGGGCCTATGTTTTAGGCCCCCCTCTTAGGACGGGCCTAAATTTTAGGTCCGCTTACCCTCTGGGGAGGAGGAAGAGCAGGCCGGGCAGGAGGGGGAGGAAGGAGGAGGAGGAGGAGGAGGAGGAGGAGGAGGAGGAGAAGACACATGGAGAATATTGGAATGGATTGGGCTCGGACGTTCCCCCACGGCCCCCACGGCCCCCCGGCCCCCCCGACGCCGTCGACCCGAGGGTGCCGAAGGCGGAGGGGGGGGCGTCGCCAGCAGACCGATGCCATCCAGACCAGAGCGCTCCGAAATCGTCGCCCACTCCAGAAGGCGCGGCTGGGACTGCGGCGGCAGCGGGGGGCATGGGCGCAGGCAAGCCGAGGTCCTCCGAAGCCTCGTGCAACACTGCGGCGATGCCGACGCCCAGCGCCTCCTGGTGCGCGGCGCCCGGGCCCGCTGACTCCTGCCCGTCGCCGGCGACGCCGAACATGTTGGCGTAGACCTTGCAAGCGCATGGAGAGAGAGAGAGAGAGAGAGAGAGAGAGAGAGAGAGAGAGAGAGAGAGAGAGAGAGAGAGAGAGAGAGAGCTGGAGAAGCGGAAATCAGGGGGCGGCAGCTGGGCGAGAGAGAGAGAGAGAGAGAGAGAGGGAGACAGGGAGTTCTCTCTGTGGTTCTGGGCAGGCGGGTTGAGGCCGGACAATTTGGGCATCAGTGTCGGTGCCCAAATTGTCCGGGGGCGCCTGCGCGCCTGCGTGCCCAGCGCTTGGGAGACCTGACTGAGAGAGAGAGAGAGAGAGAGAGAGAGAGAGAGAGAGAGAGAGAGAGAGAGAGCAAGAGGGCGAGCAAGGGAGAGAGCGAGAGAGAGAGAGAGAGAGAGAGCAAGAGGGCGAGCAAGGGAGAGAGCGAGAGAGAGAGAGAGAGAGAGAGAGAGGCGGAGATGGGGGGAGAGAGGGAGAGAGATAAAGAGAGAGAATCACTTAGAACACAGAGCACGAGAGAAACATATACAGATCGATACAAAGAAAGCAACAAACAAGGAGTCAGCGAGAGGGTGGAGAGGGAGAGAGGAAGCAAGAGAGAGAGAGAGAGAGAGAGAGAGAGAGAGAGAGAGCGAGAGAGAAACAAAAAGGAAAGAGCTGGGCCTCATCAAATAGTCTGTCGAAGTCAGTTTCACCGAGAGAATGGGCAGCTGCAGCTCCAGCGGCGACGTCGGCCGTCTCAGCGGCGCAGGCCGCCTCTGCATCTGGAAGGTCACCGGGCTCGCCAACGTCATCCTGGATCAGGTCTGCCTCCAGCTCTGCCAGCATGTCGTCGTCGGTCTCGTCGCCGCCGCCGTCCTGGCCGCTGGGGGGGGGGCGCAAGGCTCGGGTAGGACACAGCCGCCTCTCCTCGCCCGCGCCGCACCTGCGTCCCTACGTCTGCCGCTTCGCCCCTCTTCACTCCTTCCCTCCTCCTCCTCATCATCTACTCCTCCTCCTCCTCCTTCTCCTGGCCTCCTCCTCCTGTAAGCTGTCCTCCACGGGGTCACGCCGACGTCTCTTGGCGCCGTGGTCACCGTCGTGGCCGCCGCCTTCGCCAGCGGCGCCGGCCAGAGCTGGCCCGGGCGCCCTGGGAGGGCGCGCTCCCTCGACGCGAGGGGCCCTGCTGGAGGACATCGCAATCAGATCCACCATAGTAGCAACGTCAAGCTTCATGTCCCCGATCGAAGGGGGAGCAGCTGGGACCCCATCGGCGCGAGGCTCGGCGCACATCAGAGAGGCAAGCGAAAGGTCGACAGTGCCACCATCCCTGCACTGCGCCGCAAATCTCCTGAATAAGTCTGGTGACGACATTGAGCAGAGCGGGGCAGAGATCGTCGCGCGGGCAATCGTGCCCTCCGCTGGCGGCTGCACTGTGCACTTCACAAATAAGCCCACGTATCCGTGCGTGCCCACGCATGTCCACGCTGTGAGCTGGTCGCCATCGTCCTCCTCCCCCCCAAACATAAGGACGCTGCCCTCGTGCTGGTCTCGCTTCTTCGCGTTCCAGTACCTGGGGGGAGGGAGGGCCGGGGGGGGAGGTCGTCGGCTGCCGTCGGACTCCCCAGGGGCCGCGCGGGCGGGGCGGCTGGGGCAGTTGACCCGAGGGTGCCATAATAGGTTGTACAACGATGCCCATTTCGCCTCCTCGACGTCGCCGACACCGAGGATAGCCTTGTCAACTCTCACCCTCACGTCGTCGAAGTGTTCTGGGGGCGGCGTCCAGCGATCAGGGGTTGCGAGCACGCCGTTGACTCCGCTGGCGTGCGCCATGGAGTCCCGCACCATGGCTTCCACGTGGGGTGCGATCTCGCTCCACTTCATGTGACGGCTCTGCCTGCTCCCAAGGCCCAGCTCCTTGCGGAGCCCCACGCGTGCATCTAATAATCCCATGCCGATCCGCGGGGCTCGGTCGCATCTCACCTGCGGAGAGGGGCTGGCAGCAGGCAGCCAGGGGGATAAACAACCTGGGCAAAGCGATCAGGGGCAGCGGAGCCGGTGGGAACTGACAAAACCCAAGACCCCTTCCCCCCGCACCTGGATGACGTTGTTGATGCCTTCAATTTCCTGGGTGTCACCCTTCCAGCTCTGGCCTACCATGTGAATGGGTGCCCATAAGGAAGCGCTCAGCTTGCCGCTAAGCATGCACTCTCGCAGCTCGGGTTCGAACAGCGCCTTGATTTTGGCGGCAGTTCGATGCAGGGCCCTACTATCTGACTCGACCAGCGTACGCGCTATGTCTTTGCGTAGCTCATGTGGCACTGCGGCGGGCTCCATGGCGAGACAAAGTAACCTCTGGGGGAAAGTCTTCGACGGGCTGACAATTCTCATCGTGAACATGCCGTGCACTTTAAGAACGCCCCTGCGAATAAGACCAACTGACCTAGGTGCGAGATCAGGGAACTCGTCAAGTATGTCGCTCCACTTGCTGTTGTCCAGAAGTGACTCGATCTCTGTGCTGATCCTGTCGGCACCACCAAATGCAACCTGAGCGACGCTCTGAAGGTCTCCGGGGGCTCTCTTCTGCTGGACGAAGTGTAAGAAATGATGCAGTGGCTCACATAACCTCATCGATATCTTCAGAACCATCCAGAAACGGCGATCGGCGATCGCTCGGATCCCGTCCTTCGCCCACTTCCCGAGTTTCTCATCGTATGCACCTTTGTCTTCCACGTGGATTTCGTTCGTGCCATCAACAACTGGGGCTGGGGCGCCTGGGCCGTCGCTCTGCCTGTTTGTTCTGTGTGCGAATCCGCCACCGCATGCGCGGACGACAACGGCGCGCTAGCGCCGCTATCTGTTCAACCACGCGCTGCCCGGGCGCCCCAGATCAGATGACATCCACGCCCCTCCCCCACGCCAGAGGCTTAGGGCCCCAGGGCGACCCGAGGGCCTAACCTTTCCAGGGCCCCCCCCCCCCCACGAGCGGCGACGGCGCAAGAGCGGCGGTCCAAGAGAGAGCGAGAGCCCCACCATTGCACCACTGCCACCATTGCAGGGCCCCCGAAGAGGCCCGAGATTCTCGAGACGGCCCGAAGACGCGCGAGAGAGCAGGGACCGCGACTCGAGGCCCCCACGCGACTGCAGTTATACAGTTAGACGGGCCGTTAGAGCAGAGAGCCCGAAGGCCCCCCGGGCCCCTCGGCCCAGCGGGCCAGGGGAAGGCGGCGCGGCGCGCCAGAAGTAACGAGAGTCTTGACTCTTGACGAGCGCTCCTCCTCTCCTCTCTCCTTCTCCTCTCCCTTGTTCAAGGACTCTCCTTGAGATCCCCTCATCCTGCCTCGTTCTCCTCAGTTCTCCTCATTCTTTTGTTGTCCTTGTTCCTCCTCCGCCTCGCCTAATCAATCCTCGCCCCCTCCTCCCCTAGTCCATCATCATCCTCCCCCCCTCTTCCCCTCTCTCCCTCTCTCTCCCCTCCTCCGCCTCGCCTAAGGAGCCTGACCTAACCAAATCATTCAATTGCTGCCACCCAGGGCCCGGGACCCATGGGCCCAGGGGCCCAGATAGTTGGCGCGGCGGCGCGACTTGCCGCAGGTAGTTCGATACTTGCTTGAAAACGGCAACGAGCTGCGATGGATTGCTGTTGGCGAGAAACCGCTCGCAATCCCGAATGGACCCCCATCGCCCTGAGAGAGGCTTGGGCGGCACGCGCGTGCACCCCGAGGATGCCGCCGCGGGCGTGCCAAACATACCTGACCAAGTTGTCAGAATATCAACCGCCTCCGACCGCCATAGATGCATGACCTGGCACGACGATGAGACGGGCGCGCTTCAGAAGCATCAGAAGGAAGAGGAGGATATAGGCATCAGCGTCGGCAGCATCAGAAGGAAAAGGGAGAGGAGGGTGAAAGCGACGAGGGCGAGGAGGAGGAGGAGGAGGGGGAGGAGGAGGAGGAGGAGGGGGAGGAGGAGGAGGAGGAGGAGGCGGACGCGGGGAGGAGGGGGGACAGGCGGGGATTGGAGGGGGACGAGAAGAAGGCGGGAGGGAGAAGGAGGAGGAGGGCTCCCCCCACCTTCGCGATGCTCGACCAATAGAAATATTCGCAGTCAAATTGACGCAACACCCAGCCCATATACTTGAGGACAGCCTTGATTATCAACGAATACTGATGTGCATAGCAGTTCGAATCGAAAAGGACAGTGCTAGGCTCATCGCTCAGCTTTGTCAGCATGAGCTTTCTGGCATATACCTCATCCCCGCCACCGTCGGAGCAGCACGTCCAAACTTGAAGGCATCGCTGGTGCCTCTGCCGCCGTCTCTCAGCATCACTAGCAACAACAATTGCTTGTGACTCAGGGAGGAGGGCGAGGGCGTCGGCGGCGGTGGCGCTCCCGAGCGGCTCGCCCGGCTCCTGGTCGACGATGGCGTCGGCGGCGTCGGCGCCGTCGAGGACGCAGCCCTGCGCGGCCAGGCGCAGGGCGGCGGCGACGGACAATGGGACGAGCAGAGGGAATGGACGAAGCAAGAGCACGCGATCAACGCGGCTGTGATCGATGGCACATCGATGGGATAGCTCAGGATAGCTCAGCTAGCTCCGCCTCTTCTCCAAGACCCCATCGGGCCCTCCCCGGGCCCCGTCTTCCTTCCTCCCCTCCACCGCCATCCACCCCCACTCATCCCTCCTCTGGAGCAAGAGCGGCCCCCCCCCGCAGGCCGCCTGCTCCTGAGCCGCCAGCGCCGGCGCGGCTGGCTCGGACCTGCGGCGGGGCGGGGTGAGAGGCGGGAAGGGGGAGGGGGGCGGGGGGGGAACGGCGAACAACCTGCGCCGGGCCGACGCCCCCGTTCGACTCGCGGGCGCCGAGTTCGGCCCGACCCCCCGGCCCCAGGCAAGGGGCAAGAGACAAGAGGGGCTGATGAAGAGGGTAAAGGGGAGGGGGGGGGAGGCGGAGGAGGAGGAAGAGGAGGAGGAGGAGGAGGAGGAGGGGAAGGAGGAGTTGGAGGAGGAGGCGAGCAGGAACGAAAGCAGAGAGGGGGGAGGGCGGAGGCGGCGGCTGGAGGCGAGGACGGCGGCGGGGGGGGCGCCAAGCGACCAGCGCAGCGCTGGGGCGTCGGAGCCAGATCGCGCGTCGAGGCCCAGCGACGCCATCTGCTTGCGCAGCATGGAAAGCATCGCTGTCCCCGACGTTGCGCTGACGACCTGGAGATCTCCCAACATCTTCCGTGTCTGCACACAAGGTTTTATGTCGGCGTCCCAATTGTCGGTTGCGAGTATTGGCGTCACAACAAATCTGGTTTCCAATTCCAAGACGTGAAGCTTTTGCTTTTGCCAAACCTGGTGGAGGGGGGGCAACAAACGCGCACGGACACGGGATACCAAAGCGGACTTCTGGAGGGGAGGGGAGGGGGGGGAGGGGGGGGAGGAGGAGGAGGCTGAGGAGGAGGAGGAGGAGGAGGAGGGGGGAAGGAGATGGAGAGGAGGAGGAGGAGGAGGAGGAGGAGGAGGAGGAGGAGGCCCCTCCGACTCCTCCCCCTCCCTCCTCCACCTTATGTTTCTCCGCCCCTATTCCCCCTATTCCTCCCTTCTCCCGTCTCAGTTCCCACGACACTTTGGTGCGCCCCGTATCACATGGCCTGCGTGTTTGTGGCGTCCCCTCTGATGGAGTTGACGACGACGGACCACCCGCGCTTGGACGGGTCAGACACAACATGGTCTTGATAACACAATTCTTGGTATATGTCAGCGTAGCCCTGCCTGAGGAATCGCTTCATTGATGCGATTCGTGCAGCCCGTAATTTCACTTCCCATTTGCATACAGTCGTATCTGATATGTCCATGCTCATCACGAACCCCATGGCCCGAGCAGGAGAATTCGCAAGCACCCGTCTCGCAGCAAGAGTAAAGCCACCGTGGGGAGTGAAGTACCGCCCATCGTTCTTGCGAGCAGGCACAGGCCGAGCATCTCGTAGCGCCTTGCGCGCTTCCTCTGACTTCTCAAAACGGGCGCGCATCCTTCTCTCCGCCTGCCTCGACGCCTTCAAAGACGTCCGCAAAGCACAGTTCTCACCTACAACCTTGGCCAACTGCGCTTCTAACACGGTGATCCGAGCAGTGGCGGCGTCAAAAGCAGCTGGCGGCGCAAGATGCTCAGCAGGCGCAGCAACCACGATTGCTCTGCCAGCGTCGGAGGCTGAGGCTGCAGCAGGGGCCGCGCCGCGGCTGCTGGATCGGGCCGGGGGCGGCGGCGGCGGCGGCGGCGCTAGCCCCGCACTCCTGTGCAGCTCGGCTATCGCGCGCCGCCGAGAGTCAAGCGACCTGGCAGCGCACCCGCTATGCTGCAAGCAAGCGGTGAAGCAATCCAAATCAAAAAGCGCCTCGCCACCACCTTCGCCGATCCAATACGGTTGGATCGGCCGCCAGCTGGACATGCGCGTCCTGGCCAGGGACGTCGAAAACAGTGGGTCGGCCCCTTCCCTGGTGCAACTTATCCCATCCTAGCTCCACCTCCCCCGCTCTCCGTTTCCCTCCCAACCTCCCCCCTTCCGCCCCCCCGCCCCTGCCGCCCCTTCCCGGAATGCCCAGGGGCCCAGAGGGGGTCAGGTTAGGCATCGAGGCTGCAGGGCTTAGAGTTTTTAGGGGTTACGGCCCAGGGTATCTGGCCATCTTGTCGCAACGTCTGTCCGACACGGCCGCCTGCCCCTCTGAACAGGGGCGAGGAGGATGAGGAGAGACGGAGGAGGGGAAGGGAACAAAGGAGGGGTGATGAGCAGGACGGGGCGGTGGGAACAATGGAGGGGCGATGAGAAGGGTAGAGGAGCAAAGGAGGAGGACGAGCAGAGGCGGCAACAGCGGCTGCAGCGACGTTCGACGCCGAGTCCTGGGCACCTTCGAAGGCAACTCGACGCCAAGTTTGCGCAGCATGCTGTGCAGGTCGGGGCCCGTGAACATCGGCGTCTCGCCGCGCCGTCGCACGTGCCCACGGGCTGCAGAGAAGAAGCGGCGGGTCTCGCAATCCATGGCTCTCTGCTGCGGGCGCCCCGGGAGTGGCGGAGGCAGGGTTTGAGGAAATCCGACGGCAGCGGAAGCGACCGCACTGACGTCGCATTCCCCCTCCCTGCCTCCGCATCCTGTTCCTCATCGCTTCCTCGTCGCTCGTCATACTCACCCGTCTCCACCGCGCGAGCACCATCATCATCATCATCACCATCAGCAGCAGCATCATCATCATCATACTTGCTTTCGTTCCCGTTCGCTGCACTTTCCAAGCTTGCCCCCTCTGCTCTTTCATCGCCGCCTCGTCGACGCAGATCAAGTTTTTCTCCATGCTCATCGCCAGCATCGTCGTCCACCCTTCCTTGTCGTCCGTCCGTCCTCCTTTCCTACTGATCCTTACTTAACCTCAGTATCATCATCGTGTTCCTCCTCCCCCTTGTCATTATCATCCTCATCCTCCTCTTCCTTCCTTCCCCTCCTCCTCTTGCGTTTCCCTCTCCTCCCCCTTCCCCCTCGCCCGAGGAAATCCTCGTTCGGATTCCACATCGGCCCCGT